GTTTCTTACAAAACTAAACATACTCTTACCATGCAATCTGGCAATTGCTTTCTTTGGTATTTACCCAAAGGAGTTGAAAACTTTTGTCCACACCAAAACCTGCATGTGGATGTTTACGGCAGCTTCATCATAATTGTCCAAACTTGGAAGGAACCAAGATAGCCTTCAGCAGGTGAATGGATAAATAAGCTGTGGTCCATCCAGACAATGAAATATTATTCAGCACTAAAAAGAAATGAGCTATCAAGCCATGAAAAGACATGGAGGAACCTTTGAAAGAAACCAGTCTGAAAAGGCCACATACTGTATGATTCCAACTATATGACATTCTGGAAAAGACAACTATGCAGACAGTAAAAAGATCAGGGGTTGGGGGCAAGAAGGGATGAATAGTGGAGCACAGGATTTTTAGGGCAGTGAAACTACTCTTATGATAGTATAATGGTAGAAACATGTCATTATACATTTGTCCAAATCCACAGAATGTACAACACCAGGAGTGAACTCTAAGGTAAACTATGGACTCAGTGAAAGTGGCGTGTCCATGTAGATTCATCAGTTGTAAAAGATGTACCACTGTGGTGGCGGATGTTGATGGGGGGGTAAGCTATGCACATGTGGGGGCAGGGAGTATCTGGGAAATCTGTACTTCCCCTCAATTTTGCTGTAAACCTAAAACTGTTCTTAAAAAAGTTGTAAAAAATCAGGCAAATGACAGAAAGTAAGCAAATATTGCAACACTAATATCAGATAAAACAGAATTCAAGTTGAAAGCCATTAAGTGGGACAAAGGGGATGATACTTTTTGACAATCCACTGAGACTTGATGATCCAGGTACCACCCATGTCACCCAACAATGGTGTCCCCAATATACACAGCAAAAAAGTCCTCATTCATGATGCAGACCCCGAGACACTCTCTCATCCCACTTTCCTGTCAAAATAGAACATAACAATCTCAGTGAGATACACATTGAGACTTCCTTAACCTAATAAAGCGTTTAAAGAAAGCTCCATACCTGCTGCTTTATTATAGACAGTAGCAACGACAGTCAGGAATGTCTAGGGTGGGGGGAGGACCTAATCGCAGTGTCAAAGAGAAAAATATACTGAAAACAAACATTTCAAGGAACATCCAAGACTGTAAAACTTGACTGGAAGACGAACAATCGTCTTGAGCAAATGATGAGGAGTCCCACGTCCCTGGGTGAGACTACTCTGGAATGTTCACATGTGCGTAATACCCAAATTTGTCCACACATTCAATATGAGCCATGAGAGCCTCAGTGGGATGCTCCTGATGATCTAGAAGAGAAGATGCCCAAGGACGTCCAAGGAGTCTTTGAAGGGGGTTGTGAACCCCCTGAGCGCAGGGCTGTGTGGGGCACAGCTGTCACCCAGCACCCAAATCAGGGCCCGCACGGGGGCGCTCGGCCAGCGTGTAATTAACAGAGATGTGAACGGACAAGGACAAACAATCGGGAGGATGAATAGGGCCGTTACGGCTTCATCTGTCGTAACAGGAAGCTGGAAACACATGGAGGTCTGTCAGTGGGGAGAGGGGAGAAGAGAGCACCAGAACCACGCAGAAGGACGAGGGTGTCTCCTTGTAGTGACATGGAGATTTCTGAGACATGTTGCTAAGGAAAGGAGGAATTTTCAGATACACAGAATGTGGTCCCATTTATGCAAAACGAGAATGGAGAGTACAGGCACATGAGTGTACACACACGTGTGCGGACACACACCGATGCAGGCAGAATAATGACCCCAGAGATGTGCATGCTGGAACCCATGAATGTTACTTTATACGGGAAAGGTGGCTTTGCAGATGTGACGGGTTATGGCCCTTGAGAGGGGAGATTATCCACATCTAACCACGTTGTCCTTAAAACCAGAGAACATCTCCTGGCCAGGGACAGAGAAAGGGTTATGATGAGGGAGATAGACAACCAGAGAGATGGCTGCACGAGAAGGACCTGGCCGACGCTGCTGGCTCTGAAGATGAAGGAGGGGTCACCAGCCAAGGAATGCTGGCAGCCTCCAGAAGCTGGAAAAGACAGGAAACAGAATCTTCCCTGGAGCCCCAGAAGGAACACAGCCCTGCAGATAACTTGATTTGAGCCCAGTGAAACTGATTTTGGACTTCCGACCTCTAGAACGGTACGGTAGTACATTGTGCTGTTTTGAGCCACTAAGTTTGTGGTCCTCTGTTACAGCAGCCAAAGGAAACTCACACACATGCATCTGTGCAAATGCACAGAGAGAAAGGGGAGATGCCCCATCCCGGCACGAGGGGGCCCTGGGAGCCACGTTCAGCCCTCTCTTGTATGGCTTGGATCTTGATGGCAGTGTGTTCATGAGCTAGTTCTGGGATAAAAAGCTAACACAGGAGAGAAACAGCTGAGGACAAGATGAGGGGCCCCCAGGGGGGAAGAGTGGCGGGTGAAGGCAGTCCCCCAGCCGGCTCTCCTCGTGCCCTCCCCCATCCCGCTCTCCTCGAGGGGACAGGGAGGAAGCAGATATAGGGGGAGGCACTCCAAGTGGCTGGACAGAGCTGTGGCCTCAGGCTGGTGTGCCCTCAGGCTCGTGGGATCTGGTGAGCCATTCACGACACACACTCGACCACTAGGAGGGGAGTGGGGCCGTCTCTGCCCTGGGGCCTGCCGCCACCCTGCAGGACACACTAGAGAGGAGGGACAGAGGCGGTGGTGCCACAGCGAGAGCCCCTGCGTGCACCTCTGGATGGTCCTGGGAGGGAAGCAGCACCCCACCTCCGGCCCCCCTCCCCTGCAGAAACCCCCCCCCCTCCAGGCCTAGGGCCTCACGATGCCCCAGGGTGGCCCAAAGACCTCACTCACTCGGCCAGTGATGCTTGCAACCCAGCACCCTCCAGGCGCCAGGACTGTCACACCCGTCACCAACTCGGGGGAGGGGTTAGGGTCCCCCTCGGTCCCTTCCCTGCCCTCTAGAACCTTCCTCCTCCTCCACCTGCCCCCATCATGTGGGGTAGGAATGTCCAGCCCAGCACAGGGGGCCGGCAGTGGGTGGTCCCCCGCTGAGAGGCCAGAGGAGAGGAGAACGCCCTTAGCCCCAGCCCTGGCTACCCTGAGACCCTCTCCAGCCAGGCCCCATCCAGGAGGGTCCCCGCTGTGATGGACATCTGACGCCCACCTCTGGCCCAAGGGGATGTGGGCACTCGGTGTGGATGGAAGAGTCCCCCAAGACTCTGCTTGGAACAAGGCCTCCCACGCAGGCAGGGGACCCTGCCAATGTGTGCAGATGTCCAGTCAGCAGTCCCCTTCAGGCCACTTGGCTGACCGGACCAGCTGCAGTTAGAGAAATTCCACACCCCACGCAGCCCTGCCTGGGCCTCGCCGGCGTGAGAACCGCTCCACACCCGCTCCCGGTCCGTACCCTCTGCAGCTGGGTCCCCCACCCAGAGGAGGCCGGGGCCAGCAGCAGATCTGCCTGCGTACAGGGCCCGGGGCGGGCAGGCGTGGCCCTTCCCCTCCCTCCCCCGCCCCAAGGAGGAGGAGGAGGAAGAGGGCTGTGCTCAAGCACATGGGACAGGGGCCCTTCTGGCAGGATGCCTCCCTGTGGGGCTGCCCCTGTCCCCACACTTGGTGGGGACCAGACGAGGCAGGCCCGGCAGCAGTGGCTGGGTGGGGGACAGAGCACAGAGCCTCCAGGAGGCCCGTGCAGGCCCGACGTTTGGTGTTCCAGCACCGAGGATGTGTGGGACGTGGGAGCACAGCTCACTGCAGCTCCCCCTGCCCTTGGGGTGAAATCAGAGCCCTGGGCCCCTCCGCTCAGCAAATACCGGCCCTCCCAGAGCAGGCCCTGCCCGCTGTTCCCTGCCAGACGCTCTTCTGGCTACGGTCACCCCCTCGAGCAGCCTCCCTGTCCGTCCGTCTGCAGGAGCCGTCTCCCTCCCTCCATCACCCCGAGGTGTGCTTCCTCGTTAGGGTTGGGCACCACTTGTTCCTGCCCCGGCCTGTGCCTGGGCACTGAAGCCCCTCCTCGGTGCATCCCCCGCCTGGCAGGGGGCAGGGAATCACCACAAATGTCCCTTAGGGGCCCAGCAGAGGGACAGCCCCCTCAGGGTCCAGTGCAACCACCTCACCCCCACCGACCCAGCTCCAAGTCCAGTGACTGCAGGGACCAATGACCCCAGGGACCAATGAGCAGGTCAAGGCTGCTCCCCAGGGCACCAGGGGGGAGGAGAAGGGAGGGGAAGGGAGCGGAGCGAGACACCCACACCCGACACGATGGGGCCAAGGCCAGTAGGTGCCAATGGGGAGCAGGTACCGCTCAGGGCCCAGCCCCCGCCATGGACACAGAGGGGCCCAGAGGCTGTGGCTGCCCCATCTCCCCTACCTGCCATGTGGAGATGGGGACACAGTCCAGGTGGGGGCTGAAGCCCAGGAGTGGCTGTGTTCTGGACCTGGGCTGGGGCAGGCCCCACGTGAGCTCCGCAGACTCACTGACCACTGGCTGAGTGAGGCTCTTGACCCTCAGAGCAGCAGGCCCCCTTCCTGCAGCACCCGCCCCTGCACCCCCTCAGCCCGTGCAGGTGGGGGACGTTAGACAGCATGGCAAGTGGCTGGGAGCAGCAGCTAGAATTTGGTGGGAATCCTGGCTCCTTTGGGCAAGTCATGTCACCGCTGTGTGCCTCACTTTCCCCTCCGTGACTAGGGGTGTAACAGGCTATCTCAGAGCCGTGGGGAGGACTAAATGAGCTAAAATGCTCGGGCGGGGCATTCCCCAGACATCTCCCTATGCATGTGCATGCTTCCAACCCCCTCCAGACTTCAGCCTCCCCCCTGCAAAAGAGGCATCACACCCCTCCTGCCTCCCAAGGGAACAACGGGCACCTGGACACAAAGGCCCAGCATTGGGGGCGGGGCAGGCGAAGTCTCTGTGCCAGGGTCACTCAGCACGGCCTGGCAGGACCCAAGGGAAGGGCGAGGAGGCCGGCCGGCCGGCCGGCTGGTTACCTGCAGCCGGCCCAATGAACACACAGTACCCGTCCTCCTGGGCGGGGAGTGAGGCGCAGGTGACCGGCAGCCCGCCCCCGTCCAGGTGGCTCCAGCACGCGTCCTCCAGGGCCTCACAGAACTGGCGGCAGGGCAGCGGGGCGGGGGACGGCCTGCAGGGGGGGGCCAGCAGCAGGCAGAAGAACCAGGCGAGGAAGCGGTGGCAGTGGGTCCGCAGGAGGCCCCCCCAGGCCCACGCAGCGGCCTGCACCTCCTCGCGGCTCGCGTGGTGGAGGTGGTTGGGTAGCCGGGAGCGCCAGATGCCCAGGCGGCCGCAGACGGCCAAGGAGGGCGGGAGAGGCAGGCAGCGGCCAGCGGCACTGTGGACAGGCTCTCCGGTGGGGGCCAGCAGGTCAGCCCCGAGCAGTGCAGAGTGATTAGCAAGACCCGGCCCCACAGAATTAGCCGCGTGGGGAACCCAAGCACCGCCATCCCCAGTTAAAGCTGAGAGTGAGATCCGAGTCAGCCCGGTGGAGGGATCAGAGAAGAGAGCTGGGGGAACAGTGCCCAGGGAACCCGTCACCAGGGGAAGCAGATGTGGCGTGCGCCTGTGGACGTCAGGGTGTTGGTGCTGCTGGCCAGGACGGGCTGCCACGGACAAGAATCCTTCGCCATCCAGATCCTGCGGCCGCCCCGGGGACTGCTCGCCGCCCCAGGGAGGGGCCCTGCCCGGCGCGGAGGAGACGGCTCTACCTGGGGACTGCGGTGGCAGCTCCCTGCCTCCCTGAGGCAGCTGGGGGGGCACTGGCAAGGTGCCGGCCTCGGTCCTCTGGGTGACAGGAGGGGCCCCACTACTCAGCCAGAGAGCGGTCCTGTTCTCCTGGGAGGCACTGGAGGGTCCAGGGAGGGTGAGGGGGTCCGTGGGGGTTGCAGGGGCTTGCGTCCCTGTCCTGGTGGAGCTCTCGGCAGGGGTGACGTCATCCCACAGCTGGACGAAGTTCTGGATGCCCAGAGCCACATTCAGGATCTTGGCCCCGACGCCAGCGATGTTCTCCGGGCTCTCGGCAGAGGCAGTGGCGGCAGCGGAGGCCCTGCCCTGGCCAGCCTCCAGCCTCTCCGGGAGCAGCTCAGGGCTGGCAGGGGCTGTCCCCGGCTCCGTGGGGCCATCCTGGGGGGCCACGTGTGTGGTGGTATCCTCTGTGGATTGCACAGATGGGCTGCCTAGAGGCACGGAGACCGGCGTGGCTGTGGGCCCTTTGGTCCCAAAGGACCACGGCCAGATCAGTGTCAGCAGATCAGCCCGGGTGGCCACGAGGCAGCAGGTGAACAGCAGCAGCAGGCGGAGGCGGCCGCTGGGGTGGAGAGCCATCAGGGCTGTGTGCACCTCGGAGCCCGCGCGGCGCCTGCCGTCCCCGGGGGTGGGGCCGGCCCAGCTCCAGCCCTCCCCGCCCACAGGCCTGCAGCCAGCTCCCCCATTCATGTTTCCCCCTGGCTCTTTCTTCCACGTTTTCACTCTCATGGAAGGAAAAAAAGACACAAACCTCTAAATCAAGGTGACAGGCACACTCGAGAACTTTTCACACCTCCTTACAGCCGCCACAGACTCCAAGAGGCCAAAGGGACATTTCAAGAACACTCAGTGGAATTCTCAACTCCCTCCGCGTGAGCTGGAGGGCTGCCACGGATCCCTGAGGAGGGGTGTGGGCATGTGGGCTCCAGCCAGCACCCCAAGCCCCAAGGCCGGGCAGGGGCTGCTGGGTTCCATGCCCTGCAGCCTGGGCACTTGCCACAGAGCCCGGCTCCAAGAGAAAGCCCCAGCCCGGCCCGCTACGGGCATCCGCTCTGGGCAGCACTGGGAACCCCGGGACACCAAGGCGGCAGCCCCTAGCCCTGCTGGCCCACCACCCTCTGCGCTGGGAGCCACTCCAACAGAGAACAGCCCGGAAGCCTGGCCTGGGGCCACTGCTCTATGGTAAAACTGGAACTTGAAAATGCTCAGCTTGTTGCAAGGCCAGTTCTTCTGTTGCAACTATCGCCTCCAAGACGTTCAACACCGGAGGGGCGAGGGGACACCAACGCCCGGGGCAGCCTGCCCACCTGCTCAGGGACACCGTGCTCCTCAGCCACCCAGTCCTCCGGCTCGTCCTCCAGCCCCCTTGCAGACGCCGGGCTGTCCTGGCTCCATCTCGCCGGAGACCAAGCGCTGGGTTTGAGCGTTGGTGACACATGGCCTTTTCTCCTTCATTCTCAAGCCAGCTCACACAACAGCCATTCCTCACTCTCCATTGGTTAGAAACGGCTCTCTGGGGCTGACCCTGCTCTGCGTCAGTTTCCATCAGCGCTCCTGAGTCTGGCCAGGGTTTCTAAGCCAACTCTTGAGAACCGCTTGAAGGGGACAGAACACAGCAGCCATTGGGCATCGACATCAAGGCAAAGGAGGGTCACAGGACTCATTGAGACTCACGGTGCCACCAACAGCAGGTTCTACACAGACAGACGTCTTCCCCCAATGCCCCCGCCCCAAACCACAGGCTCAGTCCCGTGTGTGTAGAGCGGGGGGCGCCGTGCCGAGGCTCGGGGCTGCCTGGTCACCCCAGAGCAAACGAGATGGGGCTGCGTGAGCGAGCCCTGTCCACAGCCCTGGGTGCCAATGCGGGCGGGGGGAGGGCGCCCCATCCCTGCCTCCTCTCAGCTCCATTGTTCCAGTGCCCCTTCCAGATGGTGTCCTAGAAAGGGACAGTCTCTGGGCATTGCTGATGCTCCGCAGGGCATCAGCCAGGCCAGCCTGTAGCTGGACACTGCCAACTATGTCCCGACTCCTTCCAGTCACAAAACCTCGCATAACACTTTCTTCTGTCCAAGACACTAAAAGGCTGCTGCCCTGTGGCCTTAAGTCCTGCCAGTGCCTGCTGTGACTGTGATTACAGCTGTTACCTTCCCTGCACAGCCAGGCTGGCCCCACTGCCCACCCAGCACCCACCCTCTGTGCTGCCCTGTGAATTCCCACCCCGGGAGGGGTCCCCGGGCCTGGGCAGCAGCAGGAGGAGGGCAGGTGAGGGATGGGCCTCCCCATCAACTAAAGGACCCCGGGTGGACAGGAACCGCTCCAGGCTCCCTCCCATTCTGAACATCCCAACAGGGCTATTGGTAAAGCAGAGAGTCCACAGCCCACCAGGCACAGTGCCGAACGCTATGCCTTACTCTGTGAGCCTGTGACCGCGAGGCTGCAGCCGGTTCATGGATGAAAAAACTGAGGCACGGGACCAGAGGCCTGGCTCCAGAATGGAATCCAGGCAATCTGCACACACACGCTCACAAATACACACATTCACGCACACGTGCACTAGCCCAACATCGCTTATACAAGCACACTTGCTCAGTTATGCACTTGCACAAACTCACACTCACTCATGCACACACACACTCGCACCACCACATACAACCACACAATGCACATCCACACACTCACATAACCACACACTCACAACCACACACACACGATCACTCATACACTCTCTCTACACTAGACCCCGTGTGCTCTGCACCCCAGCTGTCCCTTCTGCCCGAGTCCCCTGAGAACCCCGCCTTCTGCAGGCTGTGCTGGGGGTCTTGGCCCACCCTCCCCCAGGGCTGGGATCAGCAGGGAGAGCAGCTGTGGTGACCACAGCTCAGAACACCAAGGACGTGATCGATCGAGAGCCGTCCAAAGGGCAGGCCAGGCTGTTTGGGATCAGAACTCATGTTTCAGGACAGCTGAACACCATGTCCCCTCTCCAAAGCGGGGGCATCCCATATGCAAACATCTGTCTCAGTGAGCCCTTGTTCCCAACATTAATCCCCACAACACTCAGAATCTTAGAAATGCCCAGAGAATAGTCTCTTCGCTTGAAACCTCACTGCCATTAATGTGATTTTATGCCTAAAAGTGTCTCTGGACAATCTCAGGACAGAGCTTCCCAAGGCCCTGCCCCTTCTCCTGGCACGGATCAGGGAGGGAGCACCAGCTCGTCTGTGGCAGAGCCCTGACCCCCGTCCAGGGGGGTACCCCCCCTCCCACACCCTGCCCCGTTGGGCATCCCGACGGCCCTGGGCACCAGTTGCTCCCTGGGGCCACTCACCAGCTGAGCCGGCCCTGCATTCACTCGCTCAACCCGCCACCCCAGGCAGAGCCAGAAGCGAGGAGCTGTGCCGGCAAAGGAGGGATGGCAGCTGCCGCCATTGGGGGCCACGCTCTCGAGGAAGGCAGGCAGCAGCGGCCCCACCACACTGAGCGCCCGCACCATGATCTTCCCTTCACCCTCCACCCTCCTTCCTCCTCCTCCCACCCTCCACCCTCCAACTTCTGCCCTCCACTCATGACTTAACACTCCAGACCTTGTCCTTCCTGCCCACCTTCCCAAGGCCACCCGCTCCCTAAGCATTTCTAGAACATCACACGTTCAACCTTCTCTGGGAAATGCTAGCGCAGCTCTGCCACGTCCCACAGCTCAGCCCCAGGACTCAGCTCCCACCAGGAGGCAACCTGCCAAGGTGCCACCACATGAGCCTCCTTGCACACATGTGCTCACATGCACTGTCCTTCACACACATGCATGCACAAGCATGCTCTCACACTCACACATGCATGCTCGTGCACACACACGTGCACACTCGTGCACACCTCACAGTTCACATGCATGCATACTCACACACGTTTACATGTACACACACGCAAATGCACTCCCACACACTCACATACATGTACATACTCACATACATGTATGTGCTCACATGCACACACACTCAATCACTCACACATAGACCCTGCAGCTTTCAGAAAGCGCTGCCGTGCAGACCAGGTTTCCTCAGCAACCTCTCCTCCAGCTATGGCTGCAATAGGCCCCTCCCCGCCCAGCTCCTTGGGGACGCTGCCGGCTCTGAACCTCGGGGCCCCAGACAGGAGCTCAGGGTCACTGCCGCAGAGCACCGTCCCACTCTGGGCCCGTCAGGAGCTCTGTGTAAAGGGTCCTGCCAGGCTCATTCCGCTGGAGTCTGCTCGCTGCTGAGATTGGGTAATCTTCCCCAAGTCGCCCATGGGGACGAAAGAGGGGAAAACGGGTGCTAAAGGGAAACCACTTGAAGTCGTTGAAACACAAGTATCTTTGGGTGAGATGCTGCATTTCTGAAAGCATTTGGTTCTCCAAGGCCCCAAGGTCAGAAGAGTCTCAGCGTCTGCTACCATCCCTTACCACTGCTCCCCCAGCCCCGGTCTGGGGCTGGGTCCCTCTTGCCAGGTGAGGAGAAGCCAGTGGAATGCAGACCCTGCAGCCAATGGCAGCGCCCAGATCCACCTGCTCCCATGCTGGGTGGCCAGGAACCATCACGGAGTTTCCTGGGTAGCTCCAGGCCGAGCCTCAGGGCGGCAAGAGCACAGTGCCAGGGGCTGGCTGGGCTCTGGGGTCAGCCCCCCAACTTGGTGACGACGAGTCAGAAGTCAGGGTCGGCCCCAAGGCTGGCATTCGGGGCTCCTTCCCCATCGGCTCCAGCCCCCACCGACCAGAAGCGAGCCCCCAGCAGCACTCCGAACAGAGGCGTCACCCTGAGGCGGGTGGCGACATGCGGGCTTCCAGGCAGTGCCATCTCAGGGCAGGCAGGACCCGCCACCCGAGTCGTCCTTAAGAGTGCCTCAGCGCACATGTCCCCCAGATCCCGAGAACTGAAGTCAACAGGGGAAAGGAACTCCTCTTTCCAGCACCCCTATACACCCCATGCCTCCTGTGGATGGCTCAGACCCCCTGCGTTGATGTGGCCCCGACAGACACCCCCGTGTACACAGCAGTCCTCGGTCACTCCCAGGGCGGGAACGCGTGGTCACTCACTCATTCATTCATTCATTCATCCATCCGCCACCTTGAAGGTCCCAAAAAGCTAAAGGGAGGAATCAGATGAGGCAAGGGGGGCATATGCTGGGGGAGGGTTTAGGCCAACACTCCAGAAAGAGGCCCTGATGGAAGGAGGGGCCCCCCAGCCCCCACCCCACTCTCCTCACTGTGTTCTCAGGGTATCACATTCTTGGGGTATAACGGGGACATTTAAATGCAATTTGGAATGTTTCCCCGTGACTGGTACTGCCCAATAAGAACTCGAGAGCACGGATGCCCCGACTCCCGCTGTTCCTGCCCCCCACCCCCAAGAGTGGCCTGGACCAGGGTTTTGGAGCATCAGCACCTCCTTTCCGGTGGAGGGGGAAGCACCCAGACATTTCCCTGCGGCTCCTCAGCCCCGACCTGGGCCAAGGGCAACCTCATGCCCCTTAGAGGTGGACACGCATGTCGTCCCGAGGGCGGCACGGGATCTGCACTTGGCTCTGATGAAGCGATGGGACGCCCTGGTGACA